AGCAGCAGCAGCAGCAGCAGCAGCAGCAGCAGCAGCAGCAGCAGCAGCAGCAGCAGCAGCTCACGCCTGTTGGGAGATCTGTACTTGGCCCCATAGGGAAAGAGAATGTGGGGTTTGCCTTTGGGGGTATAAAGGGGAAAGCCAATGGGGGACTTGAGGGAATACCTCAAACCCTTTTCTAAACCCTCGACCCGCAGCGACATCTCCAAACCCTAAACCCTAAACCCTAAACCCTAAACCCTAAACCCTAAACCCTAAGCCTAACCCTCGGGCCTGCTCGGGGAGGCCGGGCTGGGCAGTTGCGCCAACAGGCGCGCGCCAGCCGCAGAAGATTTCGAAGCTCAGAAATTAGGGTTTAGGGTTTAGGGTTTAGGGTTTAGGGTTTAGGGCCCAGGGTTTGAGGCCTAGGGTTTGGAGTTCCGTAAGAAGCAGATAGCGTCGCACATAAGCTGCTGTAAAATTTGAAATACAACATTTGATGTTTAGGGTTTAGGGTTTAGGGTTTAGGGTTTAGGGTTTAAGCTGGATGAGCGCATGCGACGAAAAAGCCCCTAGTCGCTGGCAGGTCAGTCCGGGTTTAGGGTTTAGGGTTTAGGGACTAGGGTTTAGGGTTTAGCGTTAGCAGCACAAATAAATTAGTGTATTTTTGACACATTAAGCAGCTGTTAGCTTTTGACTTTGAGTTTTTAATCCCAAGGCTTAAACCCTAAACCCTAAACCCTAAACCCTAAACCCTAGACGCGCTGGAGGCCCCCGTTGCCTTGTCTTCCGTCTGTGTCTTTCGTTTGACAGGGCCCTGACCTCCAAACCCTAAACCCTAAACCCTAAACCCTAAACCCTAAACCCTAAACCCTAGCTCTGGGCCTTCAATCTCCGCTCTTTGCGCGCGGCATCCCGTGCAGCAGTGGCTTCTGCTTGCTAGCTGGTTCCTCGGGAGCTAGGGTTTAGGGTTTAGGGTTTAGGGTTTAGGGTTTACAGGATGTTTGAGGGGGGCTTCTGGGGCCTCGCCATTTTCCTCCTAACCCTCTTGTGGTGTTTTGTCCATTACTATTATCTGCCCATTCCGGAGCGGCGCCCGCAGACTCCCCCCAAGAAGTAAACCCTAAACCCTAAACCCTAAACCCTAAACCCTAATCCTAAACCCTAAACCCTAGGAGCTGGAGCTGCATTGCCAAGGGGCTGGGCAGACGTCTCCGCGCAGCAGCGCCGCCAAATGTGTAGTGGCGAATAAGATGCAGTCAGGGTTTAGGGTTTAGGGTTTGGGGTTTAGGGTTTAGGGTTTAGGGTTTGGGGTTTTGGTTTTATGTGCGTTGTGCGGCCTAGGCATAAGAACATCGTCTCTTTAAACCTGAAAGGCGTAAGGCAAACCTCTCTTCTTCTTGAGGGTTTAGGGTTTGGCGTTTTTGTCGTGTCAAGACCCATCTAGGGTTTAGGGTTTAGGGTTTAGGGTTTAGGGTTTAGGGTTTAGGGTTTGTGGGCGCAGACTCTCTTCAACCCGAGTGACCTGAAACTGCGCGCCTCTGAAGTTGAGCCCTTCTTGAAGCTATGCGAGACCTTCGCCGTCTACACAGTGACCCAGGTAGGCTAGGGTTTAGGGTTTAGGGTTTAGGGTTTAGGGTTTAGGGTTTAGGGTTTAGGGTTCGGGGTTTCTGCTCAGGTCGCCGATGACGCAGAAGAAGATGCCATCAGGAAGGCGCTTAACGAATGCGGCGCCTTGGACAGAGGGCTTAAGGAGCACGTAGGGTTTAGGGTTTAGGGTTTAGGGTTTAGGGTTTAGGGTTTAGGGTTTGGCGGTTATAGCAGCGCGTGGACAACTTCTGTTGAAGCAGTGCAGTGCGTGACTTCCTTGACCTGCAGTGTTTAGCGTCTGCATCTAGGGTTTACTGTCAAGGGTCTAGGGTTTAGGGTTTAGGGTTTAGGGTTTAGGGTTTAGGGTTTAGGGTTTAGGGTTTTGCTGCAGCGCATCATGTTCTGCGACACAAGCCCAGGGGCGGTCGCCATGGTCCGTCAGCTGCAGCCTCATCTGCACCTTGAGAGTAAACCCCAAACCCTAAACCCTAAACCCTAAACGCTAGTAAACCCCAAACCCTAAACCCTAAAAACCTAAACCCTAAACCCTAAGCACTGGCGGAGTCTGAAGGCGGACTTCGCAGCGTAAACCCTGCGTTGTCTTAAACCCTAAACCCTAAACCCTAAACCCTAATTTTCCGAAGCGCAGCTAGGCCGAGCTGCATTTTGCGAGTGGGTGCAGCATGGCCAGCTAGGGTTTAGGGTTTAGGGTTTAGGGTTTAGGGTTTTGGCGCTGCAGCTGACGCGTGGGTCTCGGAGCAGCTGAAAGGCAAAATCGCTGATGTGCGCACAGCCAAGGAGGGCCTTCAGGTAAACCCTAAACCCTAAAACCCTAAACCCTAAAACCCTAAACCCTAAAACCCTAAACCCTAAACCCTAGCTCTAGCTGCTAACCCTAGTTCGAAACCCGCAACAGTTTCTAAAACCCTAGCGAGGGCCCCGAGTGGGGTTACTTGCCCTCGTAGAAGAGCTCAAACCCTAAACCCTAAACCCTAAACCCTGATCTTCAAACCCTAAACCCTACTGCTGCTCCTATCTTATTATATAGGGGTTCTTTTGCTCTTTAGCGTCTGCTGGCTTGCTGCTGCTCGGTTTGCTGCTGCTGCTGCTGCTTCTGACAGAGGCATTCCTTCTTCTACATCTGCTGCTGCTGCTGCTGCTGCACGTGCTGCTGCTACCACTGCATATGCTGCTGTCGCTGCTGCTACACGTGCTGCTGCTGCTACATGTGCTGCTGCTGCTACGTGTGCTGCTGCTGCTACATGTGCTGCTGCTGCTACATGTGCTGCTGGTGGTGCGTTTTAATGTGCTGCTGCTGCTGCTGCTGCTAGATGTGCTGCTGCTGCTGCAGTTGCTGCAGCGGCTGCCGCATGCGTACTGTGGCTGTTGCGTCTACACATGCTGCTGCTGCTTCTTTTGCTGCTGCTGCTGTTTGCTGCTGCTGCTGCTTGCTGCTGCAGCACTACTTGACTGCCATGGAAAGCAGCAGCGCTGCTGAGGCGTAGCGGCTGTGCTGCTGTTGTTCGCTCATGAGGGTTTAGGGTTTAGGGTTTAGGGTTTGCCTTCGGTGGTTGGCTTCGCGGCCTCTCGTTCTATTTCCTGAGACTGCCAATTTTTTCTTTTTGCCAAACCAAACCCTAAACCCTAAACCCTAATTTTCAAACCCTAAACCCTACGGGGTCTCAAGCAGCGGAAGTCCAGTAGTGAAGCAACGGCAGAAGGCGTAGCGCCCGAACCACAAGGGTTTAGGGTTTAGGGTTTAGGGTTTACTAGATTCCGAGGTTTGGCCTTTAGGGTTTAGGTTTCAGTGTCTAGGGTTTTGGGTTTGTGCTCAAAGAGGTTCTAGGGTTTAGGGTTTGGGGTTTAGGCACCAGAGGGAGGATTTAGGGCTTAGGGTTAAGGATCAAGGGTTTGAAGGGCCAGTTCACCACTGAAACCCTAAACCCTAATTAAGGGTTTGCGCGGACTCTCCATAACAGAGCGTTGCTGCTGGCCGGTCCGAGGTCTTCAGGGTTTAGGGTTTAGGGTTTAGGGTTTCGGGTCTGGAACCCCTCTTTGCAGCGAGTACCGTCTCTGGAGTTGAGCTGAAAAATGCCAAACGGCTTCATAGTTTGAATTTTAGGGTTTATGGTTTAGGGTTTAAGGCTTGGGGTTTAGGGTTTAGGGTTTAGGGTTTGGAATGGCTCTTGCGAGACATGAACAGCTGCCCCCCAACAGCCAGGGCCTCGCATGTCAGACCCTAAACCCTAAGCCTTAAACCCTCATTGCAGATTGCAGTGTTTTAAGGGTTTAGTTTAACACTTTTTGTTTTAAAGCTTCAGGCTTAGGGTTTGGGCTTAGGGTTTAGGGTTTAGGGTTTGGTGTTTAGGTATTGGTCGGTATCGGGGCCCCCGTGAGGGGTAGCAGCAACAGCAGCAGCAGCAGCAGCAGCAGCGGCAGCAGTGGGATAACAGTATTTCCTTTTCTTGCCCATGCTGCAGCAGCTGCTGCAGCGGCAGCAGCTGCAGCGGCAGCAGCTGCTGCAGGCGTTCCGGCCATTGTTGCTGCTGCTGCTGCTGCTGCTGCAGACAGCAGCAGCAACGCAGGACGCAGACGTCAACGACTGGCTGCTGCAGACAGCAGGACCGGTGCAGCAGCTGCTGCTGGGGCCTCCCGCTCCAGCACCCGCAGCAGCAGCAGCAGCAGCAGCAGCAGCAGCAGACACAGCAGCAGAAGCAGCAGATTGGACTGCTGTTGCTGTTGCAGCAAGAGGAACAGTTTCAAGTCTGCATCCAGTTACTGGAGAGCTGCGGTGGCGGCTGCTGCTGGGCGACTGCAGGCAAGTGCTGCAGCAGCAGCAAGTGGGGCCGCTGCTGCTGCTGCTGGCAGCAGTAAGCCACCCGCTCTCAGAAGCTGCAGCAGCAGAAGCAGCAGCAAAGCCTGCAGCAGCAGCAGGAACGCTGCATGCAATTGACCTCAGAAACGGGGTGCTGCTGTGGAAGGCGGGGGACGACATCACCAGTTTTGCTGCTGCTGCTTCCGGTCCAAACGCAGCAGCAGCAGCAGCAACAGCAGCAGCAGCAGCAGCAGCAGCAGCAGCAGAAGCTTTCTTTGTCGCTGCCCTCACCCCAAGGGGGCTGGAGACGCGAGATGCTGTTTCGGGCCGTATCTTGTGGACCCAGCCCCTCAGCAGCAGCAGCAGCAGCAGCAGCAGCAGCAGCAGCAGCAGCAGCAGCGGCAGCAGCAGCAGCGACAGCAGCAGCAGCAGCAACGGCAGCAGACCACTTGGCCTTGTGCCTGTGCAGCAGCAGCAGCAGGGGAATGCCTCTCAGGCCATCTTTTGTGTGCTGCAGCAGCAGAGCAGCAAGAGCCCAGTCAGCAGCAGCTGCTACCACGCCTGGAACGGGCAGCAGCAGCAGCAGCAGCAGCAGCAACAGCAGCAGCAGCAGCAACAGCAGCAGCAGCAGCAAGAGGGGCCTGACGCCGCAGAAGCTGTTCACATCGAGCATCTTGAGGACAATTGTTTCGCTCTAACAAATGAATCCGTGAGAAAGGTCTTGGGGTTCAGGGTTTAGGGTTTAGGGTTTAGGGTTTAGGGTTTAGAGTTTAGGGTTTAGGGGTTCTTTTGTATTCAGGGCGCAGCCTCTCTCCCTTTGTCTGCTGCTCTTTTCATATTCATTTTCGCCTTTTTATTTTTATTTTTTATTTTGTGGGCTCAGCAGCAGCAGCAGCAGCAGCAGCAGCAGCGGCAGCAGCAGCAGCAGCAGTTACAGCAGCAGCAGCAGCAGCTGCTGCTCCTGCTGCTGCCACAGCTGTTTTTGTCATCGTTTCTGATGCTGCTGTGTTTGCTGCTGCTGCTGCTGCAGCAGCTGCTGTTAGCGCAGCTGCTGCCGCAGTCGCATAGCAGCAGCTCCTGCTGCAGCTGCTGCTTTTGCTGCTGCTGCACTTTGTTTTGCTGCAGCCGCTGCTGCCACAGTCGCTGCTGCTGCTGCTGCTGCTGCTGCTGCCTTTGTCTGCAGCATCTCTACTTGCTGCGTTTGTCTCGGGAGGGTTCTGTAGCTGCCTCGCAAACCCTAAACCCTAAAACCCTAAACCCTAAAACCCTAAACCCTCGCCTGCTGCCTCTGGGCAGCTGCACAGCTCTAGTTGGCTCTGCGCTTGTGCGCTTTGAAGAGGGTTTGGGCTTCACAACCAAGCAAATTGAGGTAAGGGTTTAGGGTTTAGGGTTTAGGGTTTAGGGTTTAGGGTTTAGGGTTTCATGGCACGGCATGTCAGCAGCGTGGGGCCCACGGGAGATCCCGGTTTGTGCTGCAGCAGTAAGGGTTTAGGGTTTAGAGCTTAACTTCTAGGGTTTAGGGTTTAGGGCTTAGCTTCCAGGGTTTAAGGTTCAGGGTTTAGGGTTTAGGGTTTAGGGTTTAGGGTTTAGGGTTTAGGGTTTGCCCTTAGGGGGTGTCGGGTGAAGAGTGGATTCTCACGCCTTTACGAAAAAACGACAAGGGACAGGACAGGTAACTCCAAACCCTAAACCCTAAACCCTAAACCCTTAAGCTGTTTTAAAACATGTCTTTTCGACCAGCGACTGTGCAACAGCAGCAGCAGCAGCAGCAGCAAGTGCAGCAGCAGCACCACCACCAAATGCCGCTGATTTAGCTGCTGCTGGTTTAGGGGCTGCAGCAGCGGGAGCTGGCTTTCATTCCGTCAAACCCTAAACCCTAAACCCTAAACCCTAAACCCTCGGGACTTTGCGCAGGGCCGTGGTTGCTGTGAGGGTTTCTGACGGTCGCATTGAATCTAAATTGGTGGACCTTCAAACTTTCAAGGAGACTCCGTTCCTCACGTAAGGGTTTAGGGTTTAGGGTTTAGGGTTTAGGGTTAAGGGTTTAGGGTTTAGGGTTTTTGAGTTCGAGTGAGGCTTGCCGTAGAGGGTAGCTCAGGCGTCGCGACTGCACCAGCAGCAGCAGCAGTGACAGCGAAGCAGCAGCAGGCCCTGCAGCAGCAGCAGCAGCAGCAGGCGCTGAAGCAGCAGCAGCAGCAGCAGCAGCAGCAGCAGCAGGTGCGGCGTGTGGGGTTCTGTGCAGGGAGCAGCTGCCAACAGCAGCAGCAGCAGCAGCAGCATGGGCGGGCGTGGGTGTGTCCCCTTGGGGCCAGCGGGCTGCATCGGCGTTGGCCTTTGCTGCTGCTGCTGGTCCGCAGCAGCAGCAGCAGCAGCAGCTGCTGCTGCTGCTCTCAGACTTCTCGCTGCTGCTGCTCAGCAAAGGCCAGGGAGTCGCCTGGATTAGAGAAGAGGGTTTAGGACTCATCAGCGCAGCTGCTGTTGGTTTGCTGCCGGCGGTTGGAGACGGAGGTTTGTCAAACCCTAAACCCTAAACCCTAAACCCTAAACCCTAAACCCTTGAGTGTAAGTCGAACGACGAGCGCTGTACACTGCAGGGCGCCAATTGGTTAGTGGCCGCCATCTCCTTGCTTGCATGTGTAAACGCGAATTAGGGTTTAGGGTTTAGGGTTTAGGGTTTGGGGTTTGGGATTTAGGGTTTTGCGTGTGATGGGCCTGGCGCTGCAGAGGACGAGGCAGCAGCGGAAGCTGCTGCTGGGCATGGCCTCGTGCGAGCAGCAGCAGCAGCAGCAGCAGAGGCAGCAGCAGCAGCTGCTGCTGTGGCTGCTGGTGTCGGCGGTGCTGCAGTTGATGCTGCTGCTGCGCTTGTCTTGAAGGGTGTAAACTTTGTTGCTTCTTTTCTTGGCAGAGGAGAAGAACATCTCCCAGTGACTGGTCAGGCGAGGGTTTAGGGTCTAGGGTTTAGGGTTTAGGGTTTAGGGTTTAGGGTTTAGGGTTGAGGGCTTTGGGTTACAGATACAGGGTTTACGGTGTGAGGGCTCCTGCCTTTGCTTTTGCTCCTGTGGAACACAGTGGCAGTGGTGTTCGCGCTTTATAGCCTAGGGTTTAGGGTTTAGGGTTTAGGGTTTAGGGTTTAGATCTTAGGGTTTAGGGTTTACGGTTAAGGGTTCAGGATTGGGGTTTGGGGATTGTTTGTTCAGCAGCAGGCCCCAGCATTTTGTCTTCACGATTTAATTTCAAGTTGTCTGCTGCTGCGAAGCTGCAAGCTCTGGGTCTGCAGCAGCAGCAGAAGCAACAGCAGCAGCAGCAGCAGCAGCAGCAAGAGCAGCAGCTTCTGGCAGCAGAAATGCAGGCTAAGCGCAAGGCCCAGCTCTTTGGTTGGCGCAATGTCATCGTTGCTGCGAACTGCAACAACAAGGCATGCACCTAGGGTTTAGGGTTTAGGGTTTAGGGTTTAGGGTTTAGGGTTCACGCCCTAGGGTTTGGGACTTAGGGTTGACGTTACATCTTCGCTGCTGCTGCAAGTCCCAGCCTGAAGACAACAGTGTGTAGGGTCTAGCGCTTACAGTTTGGGGTTTAGGGTTTAGGGTTTAGGGTTTAGGGTTTATGGCTTGTTGCACTGCTCAGGTGTATGGGTTGCACGCGGCTACGGGTTTGCTGCTGTGGCAGCTGCAGCTTCCGAGCAGCAGCAGCAGCAGCAGCAGCAGCAGCGGCGCACTTTGCTGCTGTTTGAATCAGCTGCAGAGCAGCAGCAGCCACCTGGCTGCCCGCGCAGCTGCAAACGGCAGGGCCAACTGGGGAGCCCCTGAAGGCCACTGCAGCAAAGACAGAACTAAGCAGCAGCAGCAGCAGCAGCAGCAGCAGCAGCAGCAAGTTTGCGACTGGCAGCTGGTGTCTCTTGAGCTTGTTGGGCCGCATAAGGCGACTGTCTTTGTTGCTCTTGTTAATCAGAAGCTGCAGGTGCTTTATCTGTGCTTTTGTTGCTGCTGTTGACGTGGCTGCTGCTTTTGCTGCTGCTGCTGCTGCTGCTGCTGCTGCTGCTGTTGGAGCGGGCGCTCCTGCAGCCTTTCAAAGCCTGAGCGCCAACCCCTAAACCCTAAATCAGCGTATAAGCTGGACCCTCTTGTTGTGGCTGTGCTGCTGCTGCAGGAGACGGAGCTGCTGTGGATCGACCTGGGCAGAGGGCTGGTCCAGCAGCTGCAGCACGTGAAGTTTGCTGCTGCTGCAGTTATCCCGCTGCAGCAGCTGGAGCTGCAGGACGCAGCAGCAGCAGCGGCTAGTGCTGGCGTCTCTGCTGCTGGGAAGGCGGACGCCCAGGCACCAGATTTGCTGCTGCAGCGGCTGCAGCACAGCAGCAGCGCCGTGCTGCTGCTCCGGAAGCAGCAGCAAAAACACCAGTCGGAGCAGCAGCTGCTGCTGTCTCTAGCAGACCCGCAGCAGCAAATTGTTGCTTCTGGAGAGGTTACTGAGCAGGTTGGTAGTGGCCCAGTGGCAGCATCTGGATGCAGTTTAGTTTTCAGGGTTTAGGGCTTCGGGTTTAGGGTTTAGGGTTTAGGGTTTAGCGCTCTGCCCCAAGTCCAGTGGCAGCTTCGATGCGAAACTATCAAACAATTTGGCTTGGAGTCATCTTAGCCTGTAGGAATTAGAATTCTGGGTTTATAATTTGGGGTTTAGGGTCTAGGGCTAAGGGTTTAGGGTTTAGGGTTTAGGGTTTAGGGTTTAGGGTTTAGGGTTTGCACAGATTCCCCTACCTCTGGCGCACCTGCTGACTTCGCGACTTTCTTTTTACATCGTCGACGAATGCAGCAGCCAGGTCGAAGGGTTTGCGGTGCTGCCTCTGTCCGACACAGTGGAGCAAACCACCAGTGAGGGTTTAGGGTTTAGGGTTTAGGGTTTAGGGTTTGGGAGGTGGGGCTGAACACGCGGGGCAGGCAAGCCAGGCGTATACTTGCATCTTGCGTACATGCGCAGTTCCTCAATTATTCTTGAAGCCTAGGGTTTAGGGTCTAGGGCTTCGAGCCTAGGGTTAAGGGTTTAGGGTTTAGGGTTTAGGGTTTGAGGCTTGGTGTTTACAGGGGAGACTGTGAAGATGGGGACTTTGGTCGCGTGGTCTCTGGACTTCGCATCACAGAAGCAGACTGTTCTCAGTGAGTCCTAAACCCTAGCAGCTCTAAACGCTAAACCCTAAAACCTCCGAACTCTAAACCCTAGCAGCTCTAAACCCTAAACCCTGGCGGCTCTAAACCCTCAACACTGGGAATGGCAGTAGTTGTACAGTAAGGGGGCGCTCACGTCCGTAATGCTGCTGGTTTGAGCAAGGCGGTCCGCGCGGAAAAAATTAGGGTTTAGGGTTTAGGGTTTAGGGTTTAGGGTTTAGGGTTTGTGTGCAGCTACGGCGGGCTCCATGCATCGGTCGCTGCAGCAAGTGCCCGTCTTTGTGCATGCTGATGTTTCTGTGGGGTATAAGCACATTGACCCGAACCTTTTGGCTGTTGTGACTGCTGACGTAAGTAGGGTTTAGGGTTTAGGGTTTAGGGTTTAGGGTTTAGGGTTTAGGCCTCGCATGGAGAGTTTGTTTTGAGCCGTGTGCGGTTTAGCCCCTCCCCGTCATCGCACGGGGGGTGCACGCTATATGAGGGTTTCCACCTAGCGTTTGGGGTTTAGGGTTTAGGGTTTAGGGTTTGGGGTTTTGAGTGTTCGCAGGAGGGTTTAGGGGGAGCACTTACGCTACACCTTCTAAATACCGTCTCTGGAGAAATGGCCCATCAGCAAGTTCTCCCCGCGGGGGCGTCCAAGCCCCTCCTCATTGCTGTACGATTTAGGGTTTAGGGTTTAGGGTTTAGGGTTTAGGGTTTGATACTTGGCGCCGCCTTGCCACACGGCTGTTGAGATGGGCTCACCTGGTGCTCCTGGCTGTTGTGGAAGCTGGTGTTTGGGGTTGGGCCGCGTGGTCGAGTACTTAGGGTTTTGACTTCGTGTTTAGCGTCAAGGGTTTAGGGTTTAGGGTTTAGGGTTTAGGGTTTGCGTGTGGCGGCATTAGGTGTGCGAGGACTCGGTGTACGTACACTTCTGGAACATTTTTGCTGCGCGCTTCGAGCTGCTAGTTGTAACTCTCACTGAGGACCGTCCCGACCCCGGTAAACCCTAAACCCTAAACCCTAAACCCTAAACCCGAAGTATTCAACGGGGTAGGCGCTAAGTTTGAATCGTAGGGGTTTAGGGTTTAGGGTTTAGGGTGTAGGGTTGGGGGTTGGCACTGCAGGGGTTTGGGGCTGAGGGTTTAGGGTCCAGGGTTTAGGGTTTAGTGCTGTTGACTGCGCGGCGACGCCTAGGGTCTACAGTCACGCCGCAGCGCCGCGGACCGAGTGCAGATGTTTGCTCAGCAGGGCTTAGGGTTTAGGGTTTAGGGTTTAGGGTTTAGGGTTTGTGGGGCTTCGCCGCGCAGGGCCCCTGGGCCTCATCTTCCCCTCTGCACGCCGCAGCCCCCACAAGTCCGGCTTTACTGTGGGCCGCCCCCTGGGGGCCTCCAGAAGCTACGCACTGCCCTGGGGGGCCTCCGCCCTGGGCCTCACGGCCACGGCCCAGGGGGTCACCCCTCGCGCCCTTCTGGTGGTGGGTCTGCCTACGCACTGGGGGGCCCCAGGGGGCCCCCGGGGCCCCAAGGGGCCCCCTGGCTCCCCGGAGCCCCAAGGGGCCCCCGGGGCCCCAAGTGGCCCCGGGGTGCCAGGGGTACCCCGGGGCCCCAAGGGGCCTCCGGGGCCCCAAGTGGTCCCGGGGAGCCAGGGGGTCCCCGGGGCCCCAAGGGGCCCCCGGCACTCCAAGGGGCCCCCGGGGAACCAAGGGCTCCCCGGGGAACCAAGGGGCCCCTTTGAGTCCCGGGGAACCAGGGGGCCCCCTGGGGACCCGGTGAACCAGGGGGCCCCTTGGGGCCCCGGGGGCCCCTGGGCCCCGGGGAACCAGGGTGTCCCACGGGGCCCCGAAGGCACCGCAGCGCCCCCTCTTAGCAGCGCCTTATCAGTTTCAGGGGCCCCCTGCGGGCCTCCAGGGATTTTTCGGGGCCTTTAGGGGCGATTAGAGGCACTGGGGGGTCTTTGGGGGGCCCCTAAGGGCCCTCAGGGGCCCTTGGGGGCCCTTAGGAGCCCTTGGGGGCCCTTAGGGGCCCTTGGGGGCCCTTAGGAGCTTTTAGGGGATTTGAGGGTCTTAGGGGCATCTAGGGGCACTGAGGGCACTGGGGGTATAAAAGGGTTTGTAAGGGTTTAGGGTTTAGGGTTTAGGGGCGGTTGAGAGAAAAGCTCCGAACTTGCAGCTGGGAAGCAGCAGCAAAGGGTTTAGCAGCTCGTTTCAGTGTGCTGGGGTGTACGTACACCCCAGCATGCGCTCAGGAGCTTGCTGCTGAGGGCTTGCGGGCCCCAGGGCCTAAGATTGAAGAGTTTAGGGTTTAGGGTTTAGGGTTTGTTTTTGGTGCTTGGGACTAGAGTTTAAGGCATAGGGCCTCGGGCTAAGGGTCAGCTTGAAGAGCCTGCTGCCTTTGCTGCTGCTGCTGCTGCTGCTGCTGCTGCTGCACTTCTCAGGCGAGCAGCAGCGCGCAGCAGATCCACATGTTGTCGACTCGTCTGGCGAGCGCCAAGCGCCCGTTGCCGGCTGCCGCTGCGGGCGCTGCAGCAGACGCTGCAGCAGCAGCAGCAGCAGCAGCAGAAGCTGCTGCTGCTGTGCCTGACAACGTCCCCCCCTACTCTCCCGTGCTGCACCTCCTCCCCACAGACACTCTCTCTCGCGACCGCACGGTGAGTGGCGCAGTTGAGGTGTCTGTACACCTCAGCTCCGTGGGGTGTACAGACAGCTCGTTGGCTGTTTAGTGGTGGGGTCTACGGCGCATGCGTTTGGGGCTTTTTAGCTTTTCCTTTACACACCAAAGCAGCGGTTTAGGGTTTAAGACTCAGGGTTGGGGTTTAGGGTTTGAGACGCACGGCGAGGGTTTGGGGTTTAAGGCTCAGGGGTAGGGTTTAGGGTTTGTGGCTGCACGAAGCCGGGTTTAGGGTCCAAAGCTCAGGCCTAGGGTTTAGGGTTTAAGGCTGAGGGCTAGGGTTTAGGGTTTAAGGCTGAGGGCTAGGGTTTAGGGTTTAAGGCTGAGGGCTAGGGTTTAGGGTTTAAGGCTGAGGGCTAGGGCTTAGGGTTTGTGGCTGCAGGTGCCCCAAGTTCGGGGGATACACGCGCATCCTTCGGAGAGAGAATCGACTTCTTTGGTTTTCGCCTTCGGCTTAGACCTCTTCTTTTCTCCTGCCCAGCCCGCCAGCGTCAGTCTAGGGTTTAGGGTTTAGGGTTTAGGGTTTAGGGTTCGGGCTGAGGGTTTAGGGTTAGGGACTGGGGTTCCGGGTTCAGGGCTTAGGGTTCGGGTTTAGGGTTCAAGGCTGGGGTTTGGGCTCAGGGTTAGGGTTTGGGGTTCAAGGTTCAGGCGTAAGGCCCAGGGTTAGGGTTTGGGGCTGGGGTTTAGAGTTAGGGTTTAGGGTTAGGGTTTAGGGTTAGGGTTTAGGCTCGGACTTGAGGCTGTTCAGGCTCGCGGTTTTCTGTTTTTGCTTCGCAGGGCTTTGACACGCTTTCCCCATCCTTCCCGTTCTCTTCTTTGCTGCTTGCCTTTGCTGCTCTCATTGCTGCAGCAGCAGCAGCAGATTACACTCAAAAGAAAAATGCACTTAGCGCGAAGTGGGCGTGAGTGCATGCGCCGAAGCTGTCTGTACACCCCAAGCTGCCTATACACCCCAACCTGCCTATACACCTAAAGCTGCCTATACACCCCAACCTGCCTATACACCTAAAGCTGCCTATACACCCCAACCTGTCTATACACCCCAAGTGCAGTGCGCAGAGCAAAACTACAACTTTGCTTTCTTTACTGCAGCTAGCCCTAAACCCTAAACCCTAAACCCGCAATTTGCCGAGGGTTTAGAACGAAGGGTTTGCACCTAACGTTTAAGGGTTTAGGGTTTACGCCTAAGGTAGGGCTACGCGGCTAAGAGCTGAGGGTTTACGCTTAGAGCTGCTAGCCTGGGGTTTAGGGTTTGCAGTTGGGGTTTAGGGTTTAGAGCCGAAAGAGCCAAAGGCAGCGACAAGCCCCTCCTGGCAGGCCCCACTAGGTGCAGCTAGCTAGCCACAGCTAGCCAGTCAGATGCTAGCCACATGGCTAGCTGCTGCAGGCGGCTGGCCACGCTCCGCCAATAACAGCTAGCAAATTGCAGCTAGCTAGCCATGGCGAGCTTGTGCTGGCTAGCCAGCCACAGCCAGCTAGTCGCAGCTAGCTAGCCATGGCTAGCCCCTGCTAGCCAGCCAGTCACAGCTAGCTAATCGCAGCTAGCTAGCCATGGCTAGCCTGTGCTGGCTAGCCAGCCCCAGCCAGTAGTAGGGCCCAGCTAGTTGGCCGGAGCTAGCTCAGCGCCTAGCCAGCTAGCCCGAGCCAGCTGCGGCGGCTAGCTAGCTTTGGCTTGCTGCCACAGCTAGCTAGCCACTGCTCCTGAGGTGTGTACCTTTTCATATATAGCAACTGATCTGCCACTGAGTCCATCTTTTGAACTGGCCAAGAGAATGGGCCGTTGGCAAGGTCACCGCGTCGGCTGCGGCCTCAGGTGTACGTACACTGCGGCGCCCAGCCAAAGGCAGCAGCCTAGCCAGCTAGCCACAGCTAGCTGCAGCTAGCTGCAGCTGGCTGCAGCTAGCTGCAGCTAGCTGCAGCTTCCCAGTGGCTAGCTAAGGCGAGCAGCAGCAAGCCGACCCCCAGCCACACTGATCGCTCTGGGGCGTTTTGGTGCAGCTCCCGCCGAAGGCTTCACCTGCAGATTTAGGCTTAGGGTTTAGGGTTTAGAGTCTGGGGTTGAGGGTTAAGGGTTTAGGGTTTAGGGTTTACAGCCTGCAGGATGTGGTGTGGGAGCGCCAACAGCCTTCAATGGCCCCCCACTGCTGTCTGCCGTCGCCGCAGAAGCACCGCGGCAGATTAGCCTTAAACCCTAAACCCTAAACCCTAAACCCTAGAAATCAAACCACTGGATAGCTAGTTATTTTTTGCACTTTTCAGGGGCCGTTTTCGTAAGTCCTAGACACTAAACCCTAAACCCTAATCTCGGGGTGGTCTGGTCTCTGTCGCCGCGCTTCCTTCCGCCGACCTTCTGCGCGCAAACTGCAGCGAAAAGCTTCCCAAACCAAAACAAAGAAATACTTAAACAAATAATTTGATAAAATAAAAAGTCTGAAGTTTAAAAAGCCGCGGAAAAACCCCGGACACACCGCCCAGCTGCCACTGTTACCGTCGCTGCTGCTGGCGTTGCTGCTGCTGCTGCTCCCATGAAGTAACCGCCGGCAACTGCAGATCCAGCCTTAGCAGCAGCAGCAGCAGCAGCTGCAGTGGCAGCAACTTCTGCACCGACAACAAAACTAACAGAAGCAGCAGCAGCAGCAGCGGGACAGGGGCTCACCTCAGGTGGCGAGAATAGCAGGGAGCGGCAATGGACAGCGAGGAAGAAACGCTGCAGCAGCAGCAGCAGCAGCAGCAGCAGAGTCAAACGAAACAGCAGGGGCAGCAGCAGAAATCTCTTGTGCAGCGTCAGGAACAAAGCCGGCAGCAGGGGCCGTCACACCAACGGCAGGAAGAACAGCAACAAGAACAGCAACAAGGGCAGCAGCAGCCGCAGCAGCAGCAGCCGCAGCAGCAGCAGCAGCGTCACCAGCAGCAGAAGCTGGAGGTGCCGCAGCAACAACATCAAGCGCAGCAGCAGCAGCGTCACCAGCAGCAGAAGATGGAGGTGCCGCAGCAACAACATCAAGCGCAGCTGCGCGAGCAGCCGCAGCAGCAGCAGCAGCAGCTGCTGCTGCTGCAAACCAGAGCCGTCGAAGGGCCACCAGCTTCTCACCGTGTCTGTTTTTCGGAACCAGCAACAGCAGAAAGCCCAGCAGCAGCAGCAGCAACAGCAAGTACAGCAGAACAGAAGGGAGCAGCAGAGGTGGATGAGTGCGTCGCCGCCGCTGTGAAAGAGGCGCAACTCGCAGCAGCAGCTGCAGCAGCAGCAGCAGAAGCAGAAGCAGCAGCAGCAGCAGAAGCAGCCGCAGAAGCAACAGCAGCAGAAGAGGACGACGAAGATGAGGGGATGGACCCACAAGAAACCGACGCAGCTGCAGCAGCAGCAGATGCTGCTGCAGCGGCTGCAGCTGCCAGTGGGAGGCTTGACCTCTTCAGCGCCACAAAACTTACAGTTGTAAACCCTAAACCCTAAACCCTAAACCCTAAACACTATATACCATACTCCTTGAGCCCTAAAGCGTAGAATCTGAATTCTGCTTGCAGTAGCTTTAGCGTGATCACTGTTTATTATTTTGCAGCATACATTGCAGAGGGTTTAGGGTTTGAGGTTCAGGCTTTAGTTTTCAGGGATCAGGGTTTAGGGTTTAGCTTTTAGGGCTTAAGGCTCAGGGTTTAGGGTTTGCGTGTGAGCAGGAGTTGGGTGTAAGAAACGCAAGTTACCGCCTGCCGCCGACGAGGGCTAGCATGCGATCTGCACTTTCAAATTGCTGCTGCTGCCTGCAAAGGACGATATCCAGTTGCTGCTGCAGCGGCAGCAGCAGCAGCAGCAGCAGCAGCAGGGAGCTCGCTGCTGTCCGCCGTCTGCCGACTTCTGCTGCTACCATTCCTCCTGGCCCCGCCGGCAGCGCTGCGGACTGCTGCGCACCGTACACCGCTGCCTGCAGCAGCAGCAGCAGCAGCAGCAACAGGTTCTGCTGCTGCTGCAGCAGCCAAGAGGGGCGTCTCGTCCTCAGCAGCATCAGCTGCTGCTTTCCCTCCCACACAGTCACTTCTATACTGGGGGGCTCGGGCGCAGGAAAGAGCACATTTTTGTCTCTTGTGGCTGGGAGGCTCCGTCCATTGGCAACAGCTGCTGCGCCCACAGCAGCAGCAGCAGCAGCAGCTGCTGCTGCTGCAAGGGGTGCAGCAGCTGCAGCTGCATACGCGGGTGGCGACGGCTCTGCTGCGGGCGCAGAGCCTCGGCCCTCGCTGCAGCAGCAGCAGCAGCGGAGCAATAAAGAGAGAACAAGGACAAAGGGAGCAGCAGCAAGAACTACGGAGGAGCCGGTGCTGCTGCTGAACGGCGTGAAGGCCCCCAAGGCGTGGCGGCGGCTTGTGGGGTTCTGCCTGCAGCAGGACCTGCTGCTGCTGCAGCAGCTGTCGGTGCAGCAGACGCTGCTGCTGGAAGCGAAGCTTCGGATGGGCAGAGTCTGCAGCAAGAGCCAGCGAAGGGAAAGAGTCGAAAAAGTTATACAGATGATGAACCTAGAAAAGTACATGCCCGCGGCTGCTGCTGCTGTTGCTGCTGCTCATACTGCTGCTCCGTTGGTGTTGTCGCTGCTGCTGCTGCTGCTGCTCATACTGCTGCTCTGTTGGTGTTGTCGCTGCTGCTGCTGGGATTACTGCTGCTTTTGGTTATCTTATCGCGGTTGTTGCTGCTGCAGTTGCTGTCCCACTGTTGCCACGATTATTAATGTTCGTACTACCACTGGTGCCGATGCTGAAGAGCTGTTGCTGTTGCTGTTGCTGTTGCTGCTACTGCGGTTGCTGCTGTTGCTGCTGTCGGCTGCTGGAGAAGACATGAGCAGCCGCTGATGTTTCTACCCCTGCTACCCATAATGATAGTGTTTTTTTCTGCTACTACTGCTGCTGCTTCTGCCATTGCTGCTGCCATTGCTATTGCTGCTGCTGCCGCTATTGCTGCTGCTGCTGCTGCTGCTGCTGCTTTCTGTCGACCCACTTGCGCATGCACCAAATGCGCTCTTCTGGCTTGAGGGTTTAGGCTTTATGGTTGAGGGTTTGGGGCTGCAGGGTGTATGTACAGGTGCAGACACACTGTTGTGGGGTCGCCGTTCTCACGCGGGCTCTCTGGAGGCGAGCGAAGAAGGCTTTCGGTGGCCTGTGAGTTGCTGCTGCCAAAGCCCCTGCTGCTTCTCGACGAGCCTACCAGGTCTGCTGCTGCTGCTGCTGCTGCTGTTGGTGCTGCTGCTGTTGGTGCTGTTGCTGTTGTTACTACTGTTGCTATTGTTGTTGCTGCCGCTGCTGTTCTAGGTTTTGTTGCTGCTGCTGCTGCCGAGGACTAAGTTTTTGTAGTGATGCTGCAGCGGTTGTTGTGGCGGAATGTGCTGGCTAGGATATCGTTGCCGGTGGTGCTGCTTCCTGTTTGACTGCTGCTGCTGCTGTAGCTATTGTTGCTGCGGCGTTTGTTGCTGCTGATATTATTGCTGCGGTTGCTGCTGTTGTTTCTAATACTGCTGCTGTTGCTGCTGTTCCAGTCGGGCTTACGCGGTAAGTGCTTCTTGCGCTTCCTTTTCCTTGCTGGTGGTGTTGCTGCTGGCTTGCTTTTGCTGCTGTTGCTGCTGCGCTCCCGTGCTGCGGCTGTTAGGGTTTGGAAGGGCCGGTCAACTTGCAGCAGCAGCAGCAGCAGCAATAACAAATTTTTTGTTCTTTTTGCCTGTGCGTTTATTACTTTGTCTTTTGCAGCGGCCTCGACGCAGCAGCAGCGTCGCATCTGCTGCGGCTGCTGCAGCGCGTAGCAGCAGAAAACGGCACAACAGTTATCTGCACTATTCACCAACCCTCTCCACAGGTGAGCCCAAAACCCTAAACCCTAAAGCGTAAACCCTAATTGCTAACCCTAAACCCTAAACCTAGAACTCAATCCTAAAGCCATAACGTGGAGTTCTAAGCCCTGAACACTAAACTCTAAGCCCTAACTCCTAAATATGAAATACTCAACCCTAGAAGGGCGAGGTGGGGGTGTTCAGGGTCTAGGGCTTAATTTGTAAGACCTAAACTTTATTGGGGGTTTGGGCTAGGGTTTAGGGTTTGCTGCTTGCCTTCAGCTGTTCTTATCTTTCGGGAGGGTCCTTTTTCTAGCGGAGGGTCGTTTGGTCTTCTGCGGGAAGCCACAGCAGCTACGAGCGTACGAGGCAGTGCTGCTGCAGCAGCCCACCGCTGCTGCTGCTGCTGCTGCTGCTGCTGCGAGTGACGCTGGCCGCCGCCTAGACGATGGCGCTTATGCAGCTGAAGCAGAAGGCCCCGGCGAAATAGCAGAAGCCGCAGAAGCAGCAGAAACAGCAACAGCAACGCCGCCCGACTGCTGCGTAGCTGAGCACTTTTTAGAACTTGCTTGTGGAGTGGGGGCTTTCCGCACCTATCCTATATTGGTAGCTCATTTGCAGAAGCTGCTGCTGCTGTTGCAGCAGCAGCAGCACCAGAATTTGATGCAGCAGAACCAGCTGCACCAGCGCCGGCTGCACCAACCTAGCAGGAGCAGCAGCAGCAGCACCTGCAGCAACAGCAGCGAGCTGCTGCACTTTGCTGAAACGGAGGGACTGATATGGCAGATAGAACACCTCCTACAGCATCAGCAGGAGTTGCTGCTGCCAGAAACAGATAAGAAACACCACGGAGCAGCGAAAATTGCAGAAGTCCTTGACTTAATTTTTCGGGTGTACAGACACCCCAAGGCTCTTGTCCTGAGGGACGACTTTCAGGCAATAGCTGATGCTGCTTCTGCTGCTGCAAGTGCTGCCGCTGGTGCTGCTGTTGATGCTGCTGCTTCGGCGGTTCTTTCTCCCGTGGGCAGTGCTACGGCAGCACAAAACGCAGCAGCAGCAGCAACAGCGACAGAACCAGCAGCAGCAGCAGCACTGACGCTGCACCAGTCAGCAATGGAGGCAGCGGGGACTATCAAGGGAACCTTAAGTGTGGACGAGGGCAAAAACGAGAAAGAAGAATATCTTTCAGCAGTACGTCGGGTTCAGGGTTTAGCTTTAGGGTTTAGGGTTTAGAGTGTTATGTTCAAGTGGTGGGAGTTGGGGCTGGGGATTCAGAGAGAGGGGTTTAAGGGTTGGTGAAGGGTTTACTTACGATTGTGGAGTGCATCAGAGATCAGCATCTCCGGCTGCATTACCAGTGGATGAGGCAGCAGCAGCAGCACCAGCAGTGGACGCAGCAGCAGCCGGAAGTGCAGCAGCAGGCCCTCTCTTGCAGCAAGTGTCTGTGCAAAGGGTGCCTTCGACCGAAGCAAGACGAGCTGCAGCAGCAGCAGCAAGGTCAGCAACAAGTGCACCATGCCGTCGTCGGGAGCTAATAGCTGCAGCAGCAGCCATAAAGGCGGCGAGCAGCCCTTTGCTGCAGTTCGAGGTGCTGCTGCAGCGGCAGCTTATCTCGGAAGCAAGAGGCACAGCAGCAGCAGCCGATCTAGCACAGGCGCTGCTGCTCGCACTTATAGTAGGATCTCTTTACTTCAAGCGTATGGCCGACTACACCACAGACGGACTGCATGAAAGGCTGGGTCTGCATCGGCTTCTGCTGCTGCTGCTGCTTTTGTTACTTTTTCTGCTGTTGGTTGCTGCTGCTGAAGCTCTTGCTCTATTCGCATTGCAAAAGTTGAAGAGTTCTACTGCCTTTGCTGCAACCGTTCCCGCGGCTGGTGCTGCTGCTCTTGCCATTGCTGCTGCTGCTGCTGTTATTCGCATTGGAGAAGTTGAAGAGTTCGCTGCTGTCTTTGCTGCAACCGTTCCCGCGGCTGGTGTTGCTGCTCTTGCCATTGCTGCTGCTGCTGCTGTTTTTGTTGCTAATGAAGCAGTTGCTGTTGCTGTGCGGCGGCTTTCGAGATGGTTTTTGCTGCTTCAGCTGCTTCTGTTGCTGCTGTTGTTGCGGCTCTCGCAGCTGCTTCTGCGAGAGCCGCAGCAACTTCAGCTGCTGCCGGTGTTGCCTTTATCGTCTCTGCTGACAGCTGCAGATCCATCTCTCATATACCGGGTCATTCTTCTGCCTTTTTGTCTTTCTCGTGATGCAGCGCTGCTGTACTTTCTCTGCAACTACCACCTGTTCTCTCCGGCATTTACGTCGCTCAATGCTTTCCCTGCGATTCGCGCCGCAGCAGCAGCGGGCAGCAGCAGCAAGCTCTTCAGTGCGGCCACGTTTCTTGCTGCTGCTACTTGCGCAGAGCTGCTGCTGCAGCTCGTCGCGCCCTTCATCATGCTGCTGCTCCTCCACGCCCTAGTTGCATGGCCTGCAGACGCCCTCGTATTTCTAGCAAGTCGCTGCTGCGTGCAGCTGCAGCTGCTGCTGGTTCAGCTGCTGCTGCAATAACTGCCGCTGTTGCAGATGCTCCTAATTATGCTTGTGTAGATAGACTGCGTGCTGCGTGTGCCGCTTCTTTTGTTGCTGCTGCAGTTGCTGTTGCAGCTTATTTTTTTGGCTGCTGCACCTGCTGTTGCTGCTTGTTTTTCCTCGCTCGGTGCCTCCCACCGCCTTTGGCGTTTTGTCTGCCGTCTTCGCCATTTCCATTTTTGTCCTCTGACTATATCTCTGCCTCTTTCTTCCTGTAGCTGTTTCCTCTTCTGTCTGTTTTGTCTCTCGTTTTGCCTGCTGGCTGCGTGCGGCTTCTTGTCTTGGTCGTAAACGAAAGCCACAGCAGAAGTAAACGCCAAAGGCACCTCCAGCTCCTAGCGAGTGACTTTTCTTGCCGCTTTGCTGCAGGGCGTGTGGCTGTCTCTGCTGCTGCTGACAGTTCTGGCGTCGTCTCTGGGCCAGTTCATTGCCGCGTTTGCAGGCAGCAACCACCGGCTTGCTGCGCTGCTGCTGTCTGTCGCGCTGATCTCCCTGACCCTCGTCGGGGGCTTCTACGTTTCGATTGCTTTGCTGCCGCCTTGGGTCAAGTGGCTCGTTTATCTCTCCCCAGCAAATTACGCAGTTCCAACGCTGCTGCATGTCACCCTCAAAGGGCATACCATCGCCTGCAGCAGCAGCAGCAGCAGCAGGAGCGGCAGCAGCATAGGGAACACCTGCGACGACAAGCCGCTGACTGCGGCAGACATTGCAAGCCAACTCTCGCTCGGGCTACCAGTCGCCGCCAACGTTTGCATCTTACTTTTGTTTCTTGTGACAGTGAAGATTGCTACACTTCTTCTTCTCAGAAAGAGGCTCCAAATACAAAACTAGGTTTGCTCCTGTTGCGATTGCTGCCGTTACAGCTGCGGGAATTGTGCTGCGGGAATTGTTTTCTGCCGCTGCAGCTGTTGCTGTTGCTGCTCAAGGCTCGGCTTCCGCAGTCTAAATTTTTGCCTGGCGACAGCTCTCCACAAATGAGAAGCGGCAGCAACCAGGCAGCACATGCAGCGGCAGCAGCAGCGAAGGGGTAGCACGCAGTACAAGAGCAACAGCACCAGCGATGTGCTGGAGTGTGTGGCTTTTCGGTGCTTTTGTGCATCTTACTCCTTGCAATGTGGGTTAAGTTGTACCTCTCTGGAAGCCTCAAAATAAGCCCGAAACTTCAAGGCAACTTTTTGGAATTTACTGCCGTTTCGTAACCTTGTTTTCTAATTTATACCAACAGCTATGAAAACAGACACGTTTAGACGAAATCAAAAACAGCACCAGCTAAACTAAGCAACGCATTGTGTCTCAGCGCAGATTTAGACCTTGTCCACGCAGCCGACGTTTACAGCCAATTCCCGGCATTTATGCATCAGCGCACCAGCAGCAGTAGGGGGGCTATCTTCTCTACAAATGAGTGGCACGCTTGGATTATTTGGTGCTCGATTACAACTGTCAGTTGGAATGAACTGGAATCACGGTGCCAGAAAGCAGCAGCAGCAGTAGCAAAAAGTAAAAGGCAGCTGCAAGCAATAGAAGCAACACACAGTAGACGGCTACGACGGCAACACGCAGCAGCAGGCAGCAGCAGGCAGCAGCAGGCAGCAGTAGGCAGCAGCAGGCAGCAGCAGGCAGCAGCAGGCAGCAGCAGGCAGCAGCAGGCAGCAGCAGGCAGCAGCAGCAGCAAAGAGCGTGTATTAGCACGTATCAGCAGTAAGCGGCAGAAGCAAGCAGCAGCAGTAAGCGACAGCACCAAGAAGCGGCAATACGGAACCGCAACAAACAGCAGCAGCCGGAAGTAGCATGAAGCAGCAGCAGCGAGCAGCAGCAGCCAGCAGCCCCACCACCCTGCAGAAGCAAGAGGCAGCAAACAGCAGCAGCATCAAGTAGCAGCAAGCAAAAGCAGTACCACGTAGGAACAGCGCGCAGCAGCCGCAGCAGCACGCAAGAGTAAGCAGCAGAAACAGCAGCAACTAGCAACAGCAGCAAACAGCAACAAGCAGCATCAAGAAGCAATAGCAAGCAGCAGCAGCAGCAGGACCAGCCAGCACAAGCAAGAAACAACAGCAGGGAGCAGCCGCAAACAGCAGCACCACGCAGCAGGAAGAATAAGCAAAAAGCAGCACCGAGCAGAAGCAGTAGTACCCAGCTACAGGAAGCAGCAACAACAGACAGCAACTGCCAGCAACAGCAAAAGGCTACACCAGTGAGAAACCCCTGGGTGTTAGGTGGTTTCTTCACTTTCGTAACTGATGAAGCGATTCCTGCATTTCTAGATGCCATTATCATATGTTACTTCATCGGCTGCAGCAGCTGCTGCAAGACTGGGTACGAACTCCCATTGAGCGAAAACAAATTGACTGCAGCAGGTGTCGCAAGCTAAGTGTCACTCTGATTCCCACATTCTGCAAACGTCTACGTTTTGCCGTTTTTCTTTTGGTCCTTATGCTAAGCACATCTCAATAGAAAGGGAAGTTCTACTGCTGCTGTAGTTGGTGCTGATTCTGCTGTTACAACTGCTTCTTCTGCATAAGTTGCTGCTGAAGCCACTGCTGCTGAAGTAGTTTCTACGGATGCTGCAAATGAATGTGCTACAGTTGTCAAAACTAGTGCTGCGCCCATTAATGCTTCAGCAATTGCAGATTCTCCAGCCGCTGCCCTTGCTAGCCTCTGCTGCTCCTCCAGCAGCAGCAGCAGCAGCAGCGACTGAAAACACAACGGTAGCAGCAGCATCAATGGCACCTGCAGCATCTGAAGTGAGCAGCAACATTTCGCCCGAAAAAAATGAAAGATGAGCAGCAGCTGATTCACGGCATTTGGCAGCGTATGAGGCAATGACTGCCGCCAGGGACTATGAGGCAATGACTGCCGCCAGGGACAGGAAGAAGAGAGAAAGCAAATGCGGGCATTCCAGGGGCACTGTACATCATGCGAGAGCGGAAAGCGTAGGGTCGTTTTCCGGGGGAGTTTCAGGCAAACCGTTGTTGCCGTTGGCGCGGAAAAGTGCATCAACAGTGGCACGAACAGCAATAACAATTGTCACAGCACCGCATTAATCGAACCAGTCGGCGTCACAGAAAACATTAGGAGAGCTCTAACAAAACCACGGAGAGTCCTTTCACAAGCCATTTCGCCGGGAAACTTACCACGTCAGCGTGCATCTCACTTGTATGGCTAACTCTGCTTGGCTCGTTGGTTTCGCCAATGAGGGCTAGGATGGCATGCCAGAAGCAATGAAGGAAGGAGCATGCGCTACCGTTAATCGAGCGCTACTGTTAATTGATCTTTCTCCAAAACAATGGCCGAAAAATGGCCTAGGAGTTGAGCGACCAACACCGCTGTCCAGGTGGCCATTTTCTCCAGTAGATGACTCAAAATCTCGCCTCCTGTGCCGCCATGCGCTCCTGATGGCAGGGAATAGAAAGTACTCTTGGGCAGGCTTACGAAATAAGGTTTCCCTTTCCGTGTCATTGGTAGCTGTTGCTGGCTATTGCAGTCGTCATGAAAATCGACAAGATACAAAGGCTAGGAGATAACGTCTAACTAACACTAGCAGCTGCTGCAAACTAAAAGGAGGTGAGATGTGGGCACTCGTAGCTTGTCTGCTTTTCGGAGAATGACACCTGATAATCCATTGTGAATGAATGCCACAAGTAACCACGGCTACAGTGGCATGACAACCCTGCCTCTTAACGGCTATCCTGCAACTGTGGCCATTAATGGTGTCGCTAGTTTCGTTGCTACACCTGAAGATAGACGCTGATTCAACGAAAGCCGAATATCTTCAAAATTCCTTTTATTCAGAGAGTAGGCCATTCCTTTGGCAGACAGCTGCCTCTGTTGCAGCAACAACGCACACACTGATTGATGGAAACCACGAGCAGACAAGAATGCCGCAGATACAGGACCAAACTCCAAGGAGCTCTCGTTTGTGTGGCTATAACCGCTGTTGTTTTACTTGCGAAATTGAGTTGCAGAATGACACAAATAAATTACGTGAAGAATCACTTAGCACAGCGCAGTAACTCTTGCTGCCATAGCGACCACACCACCCCGGCTGCCTCTTCATGCCACGCCAGAAACTCATGAAACCTTCAGGGGAGAACACGACAAATAAGATCACGGCGCAAATGTACGCGCCTGAAATCAGCGCCATTGGTTAAAATTGCCGTCCTTGAAGCAGCACCATCAGCGGCAGATATTGCAGCACTACCAGCTGGAATCGCATCCGCACCAATGCACCACCCTTTGAAGCAGATGCCTGTGCAGAGTGTGCAATTGACGAAGGAGTGAAGAGCCACATCAGCAGGATCAGCAGCTTCAGGAACAGCTCCAGCAAGAAATTGCCGGGAGGTACTGGTAGAAACAGCAACTGCTGCAGTAAAGTCATGCAGCAGGACTCTGCTGCTGCTCGGCGTGCACCCGTAGATGCAGCTAATATCCAAGAGATGCGGCACCTAATTTGTCGTAAGCGTTCGCATATCCGCGAAACCAGTGATGCAAACATCGGTACGGATGCGTGTGCCGAAGAAAAGGGGAGAAAAAAGCGAAAAGCAGTGAAGGCCAGCACGTCATTACGGAATTAGAGGGCCCTCGAAGAATATTCCCTTTAGTACAGGGAAGCCCGAAAGTCCATTCATAATCCTATGTGGAGGTTGGAGGTCGCCTTGAGATTTTGACTGGCCAGATCAAAGGCGGTTTCACTCCAACTGTTTTTCTTCTTCATCATTCATCTCTGGACCGTCTGCAATATACATCCCCTTTTTAATTCTTCGTCACTCAGCTAACTTTTCTGAAGATGTTTAGATTGCAGCAGAGTCACGAAAGAGATACAAGGGCGAGCTAATTCTAGCTTTCACTGTCTCTTCGAAGCTTGTCACCTAGTTCTACGCTGTCTACTACTGTCTCTTCATGCCTTTTCATTTTGACTTCAGAATTCCCAAGCATATGGCTACTAGTATCCTCACACCAACTCCAGAGCCCAACGCCCCGAAGTTTCCAGCCCTCACAGCTCTTATAAGCCCTATTGTATGCTTCCCCAAGGTTCCAAGCAAACGATCAGGTGGCTCTTGCGGGCCTGTGCCTGCTTAAAGTGCTGTTAGGATGGCCTGGCAAGCAGTCCCATACTGGCCCTCTCGGGATATTCTTGAGACGCTTGCACTAGCGCTTCGGAAAATCCCTCAGTCTGTTCTGAAGTCCGAGAACAGTATCCTTTCGCGCGAAGCTTGGGAACGCGCTGAAACGCAATGTCGGCATCCGATGAAGAGCTGCAAACAGACTCATGAGGGTCCCCATAGGCTCATCTGAGGCCTCTCAGAGGCCTTTCCAAATTTGTTTGGGGATCTTGTAGAGGCCTTTTTCGTGGGTCGCAAAACGGCCTCACAAATCCCCGTGGGGCCTCAAGAGCCACTTAAAGTTGCCGTGATGGCCAACCGTTGGGAGGGCCTCCTTCAAGAGACCCGTGTACGGCGTGGTTCCGTGGGTCCCGTAAATCTTGAGGCCCATTCCAGAGCAACTCCGTCGAGGCCACTCTGGAAAGCCCAAAAATGCCGAAGAAAGCCCTTCTGAAGGTCCTTTGGAGGCCCTTCCGTGCTCCTCTAGGGACCAGTGGGGTCCCCGAAGGCCTTTGCCTCGAAGCGAGATGGGCAATAAGACTTCTAACATTCTTAGGCAATAAAGGGGGCACTGTTGCTGTTTGTGCAGTTGAGCGCAGTTCAAACCAAGCAGATAAGCATGTGTATATATGTGTATGTGTATATTTATATATTTACATTGCGCAAATATGCATATATATTAATGTCTGTATGTATGCACACATCTCTCCAGGTATGTGTACCATATACATAATTTCTAAATATCCACGAATATACACACAAATGTTTACATGTGTATGAATATATATATACGTATATCTATATATATAAGCATACACAAATATATATATGCATATATACATGCACTGCATGTATTTATTAAAGCAACACACATGCACCAAGCGACAAGGATGGCCACCCTAACCCAAACATGTAAACGCACAATCCAGCATAAACCCGGCAAATGGCTGGAAGCGCGAAACCAGAACCAAGACCCTCAGCCCTAAACCCTAGGGCCTGTCGTGCTCAGGGGAAGGGAAGGGCCTGCTCTGAGTACTGATAGGTGTAGGGCGGAGAGGAGTATACATCTGGCTCTCCTACATTTGTGCGAGTTTCTCGGTCGATATAATCCAGGATCTGAAGGACCTCGTGGTCAACTTGCTGCTGCTGCTGCGGGCTCTTGTTGCTGCTTTTGCTGCTGCTGCTGCTGCCTCGGCTTCGCCTGCCGTTGCGCCCTCCCCCACGGATGCGCCGTTGAGGCGCTACAAAGAACAACCCCACCAGGAGCACCAGCACACCAACGGAAAGCTTTGCCAAACGCGGTCTGAGGTCTATGTGGAGCTCCTCTTCCTGCTCTGCTGTAGCTGCTTCTGTTGTTAAAACTCGTGGTGATTCTGTGGCCGTCGCGGCTGCTGTTCTCGGGGGTGTGGAGCAAAGGGGTGCTGTTGCGGCCTTCGCAGCAGCCGCCTTTCGAGCTGCTGCAGCTTCTGCTTCCTGTCTTGCTGCTGCAGCAGCTGCGTTGCTTGCTGCAGCTGCTATTTGGCTGTCCCGCATCCTTCGGTGCGCCAGCAAATTTTCGCGCAACCCAAAAAGCCCCTTATTCCCATAAATGCTGCTTCTCGACGCTGCTGCTGCTGTGGGTGCTGCCTTTGCTGTTCTGAGTGGCGCGTCGTGCCCATGCGCATGATTCTCCGCTGAGATCACACCCCAAACCATGCATTTTCAGTCTTAAACCTCATTCTAAAAGCTCTAAATCCTATGTGGTGAATCCTTACCCGTAAGCTCACATCTTTGGATTATGAAGGGTATAGCTTCGTCCGATGCTACTGGTCCTATTCCTGCGTCTGCTGCTGCAGCAAAGGTGAGCTGGCACTGCGTTGGGCCCACAGAAACATGCAAAGGAGTGAAGCCCGCTGCTGCTGCTGCAGCAACAGAAAGAGAGTCACGTGCGTCAACTTTAAGTTCCACTTTAGATATTGACGAAGCAGCAGCTGCCTCCCGCAGAAGAACGAGGAGCTCCGTTTCTAAAACTCACAAATTCGACAACCCACGATATACGCCCTTAACCCTACGCAGGGTCACCTGCCACAGGCTAAACCATAGGCCATAAGTCCTACCCCGAAGCCCTAACCCGCGAACGATGAAGAGAAGCCAGCGCGCTATTCAAGAATTATAAACTGAGCTGTTGCGCCCTATCAAACGCTGGTGAATCCGCTACGGACTAACGTATAACGTTAAGGGGCTAAAATGTACCCATTGCTTGCTTATCCTCCCCAAATGAGAGAACAACAGCACCCAAAACCTCCTTTTCAGAGTTAGGCATGGCAGCAGCCACTGCCCCGACAGCCACTCCTTTTTCGTCAAGCGCTGCACGCAAACCCTACAGCCTAAGTTCTTGACCTTAAACCCTGAGCCCTAAACCCCAAGTCAGGTGTCTCGCTCCCGCCTCAGTTCTACGGTTTGACATGAGGCTCCACCTGGCTTTTAACCTCATATATTAAGGCCCACGGACTTCAGGGCTCAGGACCAACCTATAAAGGATATGGGCGACTCCTCTAGCAGTGAATCGTGCAGCAGCTGCGGCTCGTCCTGTTGATGCTGCATTTGCAGCTTCAATTTTCGCCGCGTCTTCTCGTCAGCCTTCTTCCAGGCAACAGTCCTCAGTCCAAGCCGTTCTGCAGTCAAGCCCGAGACCCTTAGCATGAAGATAGCGGGGCCTTGAACTCGCCAAAGCCTTAAACCCTAAACCCAGAAACGTGTTTCTTAAGCCACCTGCTACGTCACCTGTTCTGCACTAGAGGAATAGGACTTAGCTAGCGCTCAGGGTTTACGGTCTCGTGTTAAGGGTGGACTTTTCAGCTACATTCCACGAACTGGTGCACATCAGCTCATCAGGCTTCGTGGCCGCGGCCATAGGGTTTAAGGCTTTAGCTCCAGGGTTTAGTGTTCACTTGTGGGTTTCTGGAGCTCTCTGAGAGCCGGCGTTGCCGCCCAATGCAACTCTGCGCCTTCTCCCCAAGCCGTAAAAGGAAAGCGTATACTAACTCCCGATAAAGAAAACGAAGACGAGACAAATGAACGGAGCAGAGAAGTGTCTGAAGCTGCGCACGCGCCTGAGACGCGAGAGGCCCGCTCAACCCAAGCCTCCTCCAGAAACATTCGCAGCAAGGCACTCCCTGCAAACACAAACCCTAGAGCCAAACCCTGAGCCACCAGCCCTACACCTTTCTTGTGGCTGTGGGAAACGCCTCTGGTTCGGGGGCTTCAGTGGCGCATGCGAGTTGTTACGCGTTAGGGTTTAGAGTTCAGCTTCTACGACTTGCCTGTCTGGGCGCTTCCATCAGTGAAGATGCTGGTGATTTCTGCTTTCTCTCCGTGTATAAAGCCGAAAAGAGTTCCCTTCGTCTCCACTATGGTTCTTCTGCCTCTTTTGCTGCTGCTGCTAGCAGCAACCACAGCAGCAGCAGCAGTAGCAGGCCCAGCTCCTGCTGCTGTGGCTTGGGTGGCGGGAGCAGGCGCTCGCGGCACATCAAATAGTTCCCTCTCTGCTGCTGCTTCTGCTTGCACAGAATCCTCAAGTGCCACCTCTGGGCCGCTGCTAGCTGTCGCAGAGGTGTTGTCATCAGAAGCGGCTGGCGCTGTTGCTGCTGCTGTTTCTTCTGCCGGCTTTGTTTCTGCTGCTGAAGCAGCTGCTGCTGCTTCTGAGCCTACTGGCGTTGCCTCAGTCGTTGTCTCTGTTGATTCCGTCGCTGATTCTCGTGTAGTTTCTTCCGTTAGAGCTGCTGCGGTGGCTCTTGCTGCTCCTTTTGTTTCTCCTGCCTCCATTGCTTCTGTTGACTCCACATCAACAGTTATCGAGACCCAAACGGCGTTCGTCTCTTCGGGTCCCCTAAACTTGGAGATCCTTAAGTAGTGCTTGACCTGCTGCTGCTGCTGTTGCTGCTGATGCTGCTGCTGCAGTTGCTGCTGATGGTGCTGCTGCAGTTGCTGCTGATGCTGCTGCTGGTGTTGCTGCTGCTGCGTGTCCTTCGTGCCCTTGCTGCTGCCAAGAAAGAACTGGGTGGGTTGTGGCCCCGATTGTGCGAAAGCCGGGCAACAGCAGCAGCACAGGCAGCTCAACAGCAACAACAGCACCGGCAACCTGCTCCCGCTACTACTGCCGCGTTTGCTGCTGCGCCGGCCGTTGCAGCAGAGGCCGCTGCAGCAGCTGGTAGCGCTAGAGAGGGTGCTTCTACTGCGCCTATTGCTGCTACTGCTGTGGCAGCTGCTGAGGAAAGCGAACATCTTGGCTAGCGTGTGGGGCCAGATGGCCCCTCTCCGAGCAGGCCCATTCAAGCACAGCGGCCAGAACCTAAACCCTAAACCCTAGAACCTGAACCTCAAACCTTGATCCATGAAATACAGAGTCACAAGCACGCATGAAAATTTCAAAAAAACCATCTTGAAGGAAGAGAGCACAGAGGCAAAAGTGAGGCTCCTCTGTTGGGTCGATGCTCGGGGCTGGGTCACAGTCCCTAAACTCTATTCCTACAGACTGAAACCCCAAACCCTAAACCCTGAACCATAGGATCTAAACCTTTACGAGGGCTTTAATCCTATGAGCGGTTGTATCAAGCCCAAACCCAAGACATTTCTATGATGGAGACGGCAGCCCGCAAATGTGGCGATTCCCATTGCGAGGGTCTAGAGTTTCTGTGGGGATCGGGCTGCAAACCCTAGACCGTAAACCTTTGACTAAGTCCATAGTTGCAGTCTACAAGATCCTCCAGACCCCAAAGCTCCACAGACACATCCCATACACTCCCTTCTGCAGCGCAGCAGCAGCCCAGGTCAACAGGGAGCCGCAAAGGAGCAGCAGCAGCAACAGCAGCACGAGGGCCAGCAGCAGGTACTGGCAGGACGTCAGTACTTCTACTGGAACCGACATAAACAGCAGTGGCGCGCAGGGCAACCGCCGCCGCACCAGCAAATTCAGCAGCGGCCGGGACCCCGACAGCAGCAGCAGCAGCAGCAGCAGCCGAGGCAACCCTCGTCTGTCGCTTTTTTACAAGGACGTCATCTCTCTGTCTTCTTCTCAAGAGGTTCTTTCTTTCGCAAACAGAATAATCGCATCTTACGCTCTGAATAGACACGACTTGCTGCTGCTGCTCCAGCAGCTCGCAGTCCTGCAGCACGTACGCAGCAGCAGCAGCAGCTTCAACGCTTTCTGGATTAGAGCAGCAGCAGCTTTGCAGGCGCACAAAACGGATGCACACCTTCTGCGCCTCTCTTTTCTCTACCTTGCAGACGCCAAGTGCGCCAACGCCGTGGTTGACCTCGTAAGCGCTAAACCCTAAACCCTAAATTATTGTGCAAAGTGGAGGCCCGAGAAGAGTCAGCGCCCACAGCCATGGCCAGCAGCAGCAACAGCAACAGCAGCAACAGGGCGTGGATTAACACTTTGTGAGTACTGCACGAAGACTTGATGCTTTGGGGCCTGGACTCTTAGGCTTAGGGGGCTGCTGCTGCTGTGTTCAGCTGCCTCTGCTGCACCCGCATGTGGCGACGTTCACTGTGCTGGAGCTGTCGGACATATTTTGGCGCTTTTCTGTCCTCTCTCTTTCCTTACAGCGTGCTGCTGCTGCTGCTGGCCAATACAGGGTCTCTGCTTTCAAAGAAGAGTTGCTGCTGCAGCTGATGCGCAAGCACAATGTGCTGCAGAAACAGCTGCAGCAGCAGCCAGAGCAGCGGCAGCTGGTGCCGCAGCAGCAAATACTGCTGCTGTACAGGCTGTTGTACGGCGCAGCGAAATTAAAAATTAAATTCGACGACGCACCAAAGCTCTTTCAACTGGTTGTCGACAAAGGCACGCCATTCCCGAGGGTTTAGGGTCAAGGGTTTAGGGTTTTAGGGTTAAGGGGTGGAGGCTCTAGGGTTTTAGGATTTGTGAGGTGGCCCAGTGAGGTTTCTCGTGGGCGGGAGCCGCTTCCTAGTGTTCTGGGGAAGGTTCAGGCGCTTAGAGTTTAGAGGTCCCAATAAGAGTCAAGGGTTATTCTTCAGTTCTTTGAGACTAGGGTTTGTGCGTGCAGCATGTGAGGTGCTGGGCCGCGTCGAAGCCTCCGAGGGATTAGGGTTTAGGGTTTTCTCTCCCTCACAGACTGTGCGGGTGGTTTGGGCTGCGGCGGCCCTGCAGGCCCCAAACCCTAAAGTTTTTGAGCTGGCGAGAACGCGCATTCTTGTAATGCTGAACCCTAAGATCTGAGTTGAATTGCGCAGCTGCACTGCTGCAGCTGCATGGCTTCATTCAGGGGTTCTGGCGACTCCTGGACTATCTCGGTGATTCATGGTCTAGGGTTTTGCAAAAGCTGCCAACTGCGAAAACTCAGACCCTGAAGATGCTCGTGGTGTGGGCAGTGGCACCACAGCAGAGATCTAAGGTTTGGGGTGTGGCTTGTGTGCGCAGGGGTGCGTCGACGACTTGTCATTCGAAGAAATTCAAATTCTGCTGCAAGTCTTTGAGGCGATTGGAATGGCGTAAACCCTAGCCACTGGCCTCTTAAAACCTAAACCCTTGGAAACGCCTAACAGCAGCTGTCAAGAGGGAGCGGAGGGTACGCGCTAGAAACCAAAGACGCAAAGAGGGCTTATGGCTTTGGGTTTGGTGCATTATTGTTCAGAGATCCTGCATTCACTGCGACACTTCAAACGGAGCTGCAGCGCATCGCCACTTTGACTGGTGGGCTATTTCTATGTTTTCAGCTTTTCAAGGTTGAATGCCGAATTCAGGGTTCGGGTTATAAGGCGCAGGCCTCAGCGTTATTGGCTGTGGTCCTCGTGTCTCATCCCCCACACGCCTGTAGGTGCTGCGTACGCGGTGGGGGGTGCAGGGCCACATTTAGGGCGCAGACTTGGGGGTTTAGGGTTTGCGTTTTATAGGGGGTCACTCGAATACCGCAGCGCCACGCCGGAAGAAGTTTAAGACGAAAGAAAAGAGGGTAAGACGATGTGTCTTACCAGAGCATAGGATTCAAGGTTTAGCATGGGCATTCGCTGTTGCTGCTGCTGGTGCTGCTGATGCCGGTGCTGCTGGTGAGGCTGCTGCCGCTGCCGCTGCAGCTGCTCTGCACTGGCTCGGTTCTATTTACCGCTCCTTTTTGCAAGACAGGTGCGATGCACCACCAGCAGACTGCCAAGCAGCATCATCCCTTAAGCCCACAACTCGCAACAGCGCCGGCAGCAGCAGCTGTGCACTGCTGGCGTGCAGGTATCAATGACAGACCCTCTCCCGTCCTACTCACCAAACCGCAAACCCTAAACCCTCAGCCTCGAGCCCCTTTTTACCGCTTGAGCTAGGAAAGTCTGCTGCAGCAGCAACCCCGTGAAGCTGCAGTGTACGTTTAGCTTGCAGCGGGTTCTTCCCATCCCTTCCGAAAGGAAGAATCAATTCCATTTGAATATTTTTCAAAAAAAACAAAGGCTTCAAAGGAAGAAGTCCTGCTAGAGTTAGGGGCTCTTTGCATGCACCAAGCAGTCCCCTTTCAAATTTTAAGCTAAAAAGTCCTGCTGCCGCTGCCGGTCTTGCGGTTGCTACTGCTGTTGCTGCTGGGACAGGAGTATTCAGATGTGCTGTTCCTTATCTACTACAGATAAACCAGCCGCGGCTGCTGCAGCACTGGTTGCAGCAGCACCATTGCTTACTGCAGCAGTAGCCAGCGTGGCAGCGGCTGCACCTGGAGCTACTCTGCTGCCGCAAAAATTGCTGATACAGCAGCTGTATAGAAGCTGCTGCAGCGGACACTGTTGTGACAAGTGCTGGTGCTGCCACAGCAAAGTCTGCTGCAGCGAAAGCCGCTGCCGCAGCCTCAACAGCAGCACGGTTGCTACTGCTTACGAGTCTGTCGAAGTGTCGCTGCTTTCGGACGTCTCCCTCTCGCTGTCCTCGACAGCATCAAAGCACGCCACATTCTCGCGCATGCGTTGTGTCCTTGTTCCTGCACGCCAACGCAAACCCTAAACCCTAAACCTGCTGCCGTCAATGGCTGCTATGATGGAGGGCCGCAGAGGTGGAACAGAAAAAACAGGAAACAGGAGCTGCAGGGGCTAACAGCCACGGGATGAAAAGCAAAGCAACTCAAAGTGAGCCGAGATCTGCGGGTCAGAAAGAGGCAAATGCTCAAGGCCAAACTGCTTAATCTTTTCCTCCTTGGGACAGCGAAAGGGCATGCAAAGGGCATGGTGAGGCACGTATACTAATGGGTGAGGAGCCAACCGAGGCCAATTATATTCAGCCGCAAACAGATAATGAGACACAGAAAAGGCGAACTGGCGGGGACGCATAAGCCCAAAGAGAGCAGCACAGGGACCGGACAAGCCGGTGAAGAGCGCGAGGAAGCGACACAAAAGTGGACAAACGAAGCAGCCAATGGGAGAGAAGAGTTTAAGTCGATAGGCAGAGGGCACGCATTGTGAGAGGCATGAAGCCCCACTGAGAGCCGGGAAGGCGTAGAGGGCAGGGCAAACGAAGAGAAAATTAAAGGGCAAAAGCTACGGGCAGAGAAGTCCGCAGAAAGCGGAAAAATGGAGGTTCAGGCGAACAGCTGCACAAAGCTGAATGGAGGCAAAAGCCCCTTCAACAGCGTTGGGTTCTTGCGCTCAAGGCTCTTTCGCCGAGCGCAGGAATACAGCAATGTTGAAGGGGCCTTCGCTTTTTAAGAGCAGTCACACTCACCGTGGGTGGTCCACCTGCCGGCGCACTCGTCGTACTTCACCACAATGAACTCCTTCAAAGGATACGAGACCCTCCGCACGCAGCCCGAGACGCTCTGGAAGGCCCCGCGGAAGGCTCTGCCGAGGACCTGCAGCGGCAGCGAACGCCGGCAAGCAGGGAATCAACAGCAATGGCCACAGAAATGAAATACCAAATCAAATGAAGTAAAATCATTCAACAGCGGGCATTCAACGCGCAGAAACAAGCATACTAGCGTGCAGCTAGCTGCCAGACAGATGTGGCTGCAGTTTAGTTCAGAGGCTTGCGAGGCAACAGCAAGCCAGCTCGTGCAGCGGGACTCTCGGGGCGGCTGATAACTGCGCTGCGGCGGCCGCAGCAGCCGCATCGCAGCACAGGACGGGCCGCCGGCAGCAGCAGCAACATAAGCGGCGGCAATAACAGCAACAGCAGCAGGAGCAGCAAGGACGAACCGCCAGTCCGTCTAGCATGCGCTCCACTGTCTCTTGACAGGCCGTTGGCCGCGCGCCACCGCCTCCAGCATCACTCATTGTCCCGTTGCTGCTGGTGCTGCTGCTGTTGCTGCTGCTGTTGCTGCTACTGCTGCCGTTACTCGCTGGCGGAGCTTACAAAGATGGCCGCTGGGCATCTGAAAACCACTGCAGCAGCAGCGCAGCAGAACAGGTAAAGCCAAACTCATCGAGGCTGCCTTAATGTACCAACACCTGCGGAGAGGGTGAAAAGAATGGCACACTGCTCTGCGACCGGTGGTGCTGGGTCAGTCGCTGCGGCAGTGGCTTGTTATGTGGGCGAGGGCTCCTCACAGTTACTCCTCTCGCTGCTTGTTTTGTGGATTGTGCAGTTATAGTCGGTTCACTATGGGCGGAGAGCTACTTCTGTTGCTTAGCTTGCTACGGGTAAGGCTTCTGCCGGTGCTACTGCGTGGCTTTCTCTCCGTTGTATCTGCTGCAGTTGCACACACGGGATTATTTCTAGTCCTTATGTTTTGTGCATTAATTACATTTACTGCAAATGCCATTTTAATTATCCAATTACCTTTTCAGCGTGGAGCTCCGTTTGTGGCGAGTCGGCTGCTGGCCGCGGCGATCTTCGCCTGTAGGCCTTTTGGTCAGCCCCAGGGCGGAACCAAATAAGGCGAATTGGAGAAGACGAAAGATCAAATCGGAAAAATAAAAATGCAACAACCAGAAAATGTGTGCATGCAGGGAACAACACAGTGCGCTTGTGTGTCACCGCACAAGTCTCTCTCGACAGAGCCTCCCTGGTGGCTGCAGGGGGGTCGATCTGCTCCTTTTGTCGTCACTCCAAGGTCAAAAGCATGAATTTGTTTGCAGACTCAAAAATATGCAAAACTGGAACGGAGAACAACTGTTGGTGTAGCCAACAGCTACCAAAGGTGCTTTGGCGAGTGCTGCGGGAGTCTGCCTTGAGTGCAAGTGCTGCCGCGATTAACTACCGCGGCGCCAAGTGCTTGTTCTCCCCCGGCTGCCGCTTTAGTCACGCATCAAAGAAAATTAGTCTAGAAGATAAGCCAATCAAAGGCTTTCGAGCACTTTATATGGAGAATATAAGGGGTTTTCGCCCAGAGGCTGTGCCAGCCCCAACTCGACCACTGGAGTTAACGAACTGTCAGCTTATGATGTCCACACAGCAGAAAACCAGATACATGTTGAGTATGTAATTGAACGGTTAAATATACGATTGATGTTCCAGTCTCAAAGATGCATGAGGGCAGCTCAAGCCAGCTGTGCTTTGGACCTCACGCTGCTGGCTTGAAGGCGTCGGTCACCTGCAGCGCCCCTCGTGCTGGTGGCTGGCGTTTCCCGTCCAGTAGTGCACTTGGGGCAGCAGCGCAGTCTCAACTGTGCTGCGGAGGCACTACGGTGCTGAGTTTCTGTGCCGTTGCTGTGCTGCTGAGGTGATGTGTTGCTGGCCTGTTGTCGAGGTAGTGTCCTGTTTCTGTTCTGCCGAGGTTATGTGCCGCTGACGCGCAGCGGATTCCTAAAGAGCCATTCAACACGAACAAAAGTAGCTAAAGCCATGGCGTAGGTGGGACGAGTAGCCAGCAGAAGCCAAACGGGCAGAGATGTAGACTGGCCCTAACTCCTGGCACCGCTGACGTTCCTGTTGCTGCAGCTGCTACTGCTCTGGTATTCCCGCTGCCGCTGCTGGCTCTGTTGCTGTTGCAGCCACCCCTGCCGTTACTGCCGCTGCCCCTCTTTTTCCGATAATTCTGTGGCTGTTGCTGTTGTGGTTGCTGCCGTTGTTCTGCTGCAGAGGCTTTTGCTGTCGCTGCTGCTGTTGTTCTCCCGCTGCTGCTCCTGCGTCTTCATAATCACTGCTCTGCTCCTACTGGTTGCTGCATAGATCTTGTACGCTGCCGCGTCACCGGAAATTTCGCTATTTTGTATATGGAGGGAGCTCGCAGTTATCAGCGGCTCGCTAGCCGCGGCAGTGGCAAGGCCTCAGCAGTTAGCCACGCCCTCTAGCCTCATCCGTTTTTGACTTGTTCCTTGAGCACTTTCCCATTAATTTCCCCAAGATCCTTGCAGGCTTACTGTGCGTGGAATATCACAAAAAATTAAGAAGACCACCTCTAAGAGTCTTGCTGCAGCGGATGCTGCTGTGCGGTCTCAGCTGGCCTGGCCTCGCTTCTGCCTAATCTTTAGGCTATTTTGGCTGCTGGGAAAAACCTGCCTCAGTGCTGAGGCGGCTGGGCTGCGCAGCAGTCGTGAGAGGTGTGTGCGGCCGAGCTTGTCCACTTCGTTTGTTCATCCGCTTTCCCTCCAAGGTCCTCTAAATGACGAACCTCGTATGCATGGGAAGTGACTCGACATGCATTTAAATAACAAGCTTTTTCGTTTAAAATTCATGTCTATCAAAATGGCGATCAAGCATCGCCTGCTGCCTTCGCCCTTGGTGGCTTCGGAAAACGGAACAAAGAAAAACGCGCTAGTGAATAGCGGGCAAACCAGTCTTTGTCCAGTTAGCTGCAGCTCTACAATTGACGCAGCAAGCCAAGGCGCTCCGCTGCATTGGTCACTTCATCTACAAAAGACTTGCAAAAGAGGAAGCCTGCAGCCAAAGAAGCCCCACAAGGGACTGCGAAGCGGCTCCTTAGTGCTGGACTTAGCCAGCGTGCAGCGTTCCATTCTGCTGCTGCACCTGTCGTTCTCACGGCCCTCGAGAGCCACTTTGGGAGCTTCCGCTGGGTGCGGCCTCATCACCCTCATGTGCTGCGGCTGCATGCCGAAGGGCCCTCTGTGTCTGTAAACAGATCGATATGTACCCTTTTATATCCATGAGCACATAGCTGTAGCATTCGCCTCTTGTCCTTCGCTAAGATATCTGCCTGCACGTTGCAGTAAGCGGCTCTGTGGGGACCCAGTCGGTTCCTAGTGCCTGCGGCGCAGCAGCTCGTGAGGTTGGACTCCCGCAGGAAGCAGCCGCGGGGGAAGAGCCCAGCAAATGGATTAAGCGCAGATAGTGACCTCTGGAACGTGGCATGTTATCGTCGCATTGAACTTCCTCTCTGCATATCAGTTCAATCAGTTTCAATGCAAATATGTCCCAGTAAATACTAAATTGTTTCGCTCGAACGTGAGCGCTTTTGTGCAAAGAACAACTCATTTTGTTCGCGTATGAATTGAACGGGTTTCAGTGAGAATTCATTCCGCTAAAAAGCCATTTCGCCTTGCAACTGCCTCGAAGTCATTGTTGTTCAAAGGCTTGAAGGCGTTTAGAATGCTGACAAGAGAATCGAGTGCGACTCAAAGGAATAAGGCAAAGCTATGCAGCAGCAAACTCTGTATTGACGAAGTTCTGCAGCACGAGGACCAGGCCGCCTGCAGCCTCCAACAAGCACGGGGGGAGGAAGCCAACAAACTCAAGGCGAATATAGAACTATAAAAGCTGGATGCAGTAAATAAATTTTCCTTAGCAATAGCGTCTTCGGCGTCTGCAGGTGGCCTTTGGCCACCTGCAGACGCCGCAGAGGCAGCATCACAGAAGCAATGGTTCTTATCGCTGGTTGTGTCCTGCAAAAGAGGCTAAAATGGCCATTATGCCACTTGAATAATACTTTTAAACGGAGAGGATGGGCCAACCAGTTGCATTCATGCAGCATGGCTTCTTGAAACGGAAACCGCGGCACTACTACGGAACGCGCGTAATTCCTCTGCTAAAGAGGAAGCGTGCTGAACACCTTCCCAGTTTGTCAGTAATCCTATGCCCAAATTCCGCAAGTAACATGCTACAAATTTTGGCGAGCAAATAAATAATTCAGAAAGGGCAATCTATGGAAGAAACAGGAGCACATCAGTGCTGCTGGTAGGGGCCTCTGGGTGACCGCCAGCCCCCACCGCAGAACCACCACGTACAGCATCGCATCTACCTCCAGAAAACCTAGAGGCCCGATTTAAAGGGAATAATTAGTTGAAATACATTAAAAAAGTAAAATAGCCTGGGTAAAGTAAACAGAGAAGCGCGCAGGAAACACGTGTGAGGGCCTCCGCAGCACGTACGCTCACAGACAATGCTGCTGCGGCCTCCCCCCTGGTGTTGCTTTTCGCGTTTATGGCACCTTGGCTAAGGAGCGACAAGTTGTAAGAAAAGATATTTTAATAAATTCGGAAACTTTAAAAACAAAACAAAGCCGGTAAAAGGGCTCCCTAATGCTGCAGCGGTGGACTGGTGGTTCGACCACGAGAACCACAGCGGCCTAGCTGCTGCTGCTGCAGCAGCCGCAGCCGCAGCCGCTGCCGCAGCAGCAGCCGCTGCAGGTTAAGGTGGTTGATCTATAGCCCACTTTGTTTAAATCAAATCAAAGGCAGAAATTGGCGGAAATTCGCAGCAGATGCCCCAGGCGCCCCGGCGGGAGCGACGGCCGACAGCATCTCAATGGCCTCTCCATTTTCGTTTCTTCCTTCGAATTTTCACCGTTTGCTATTTTCCTTCGTTTAATTCTGTTAACTAGAAAATCTATTTATTTTGTCACTCCCCTCGCAACGTCGAGGGTCACCCTAGCGTACGCCCAAGGTCTCGGCAGACCGCAACGCGCAAGCCAAGGGCCACCATGTCACCTGAGGTCCCCGGAGGCTCTTTGGGGTTTCTAAGGGACCTTAGGGCTTTATCTGTTTCTCTGTAAGACAAACTTAAGGCCTCACGTTCACCGGAGGCTCTTGCGAGCCACCTCGTCATACTCTCCCAAGGGGCCCAAGAGGAGCGTTGTTGCTTCGGGGCCGGCCACACGCACTTGTACCCCTTCTTGAATGGTTTGACAGCTTCTGAAGGCCTCCCCGACAGAGCGCGGACCCAAGTTTCACCTGCGGGGGCCCCAGCCCTCCAGGCCAAATGTATGAGGAGAGGGGCCCGCCCAGGGGCCCCCCAAGTGGCGAGAGGCTGTCCACGGACGCCGCGCTCCCTAGGCTTACTCGGCTGGTTGCGAGACAAAGTGCCAAAATAACGGACAAACTAAACAAAGCTTCTACAGAGGATGCTCGGCCTGGGGCGGCTGCTTCTGGTGCTGTTG